TTTCTAGTGTCAAAATGGATGGTAAATCTTTCAATTATCATTATGTCTATTTGTAGCATTTTATTATTGAACTTGTTACGAATCAAAATCAAAGAAAAAGAGGGTGGAGGACAATTATTGGTAATTGATTTTTGTTTTGAACACAAATTGAAAGTAAGACAGTGTAGAGTGAGAAAACATTGTTCCAATATTATCAGTTTACTAATGATCTAATTGCTAATTGTTGTTTGTTTGTCTAGGTCATTTTTGTTTGTTACATGTCTTGTAAAAAATTGTTTTAATCAGATATCCGTTTTCTCGTAATCGCAAGATCCGTTTCGATAATAATCCAAAGTCCCGTGTAAATGAAACACTAACATAGACATAACATTTCATCATTTAGGGTACTTAATAATTGTCGATGATGATGACCTGATTATAAATAATCAATGTTAATTCTAAATCAAAAGGCGCCATCTTTGGAATCTGATTTTCAAATGTTGAAATATAGAATTGATTTATTCATCATATATATTTATTTCTAATATAAAACACAAGAGGGCTTTAGTTTCATAAGAATTTTTTTTCTGTATTCGAAAGAGTTTAACAGTTTACAGATATATATCATTAGAGATGAAATAAAAAAAAAATCCGAATTGATGCAACAGGTACGATTTGACTTTTATACATGGAAATCATCAATATTAATATTTCGGTACTAGTCGGTTGATCGGTACATCTGGATTCACACATTTGTTGTTGTGCTACAAAAGGTCAGCCTTTTGGATCTGTTCATAGAGGATAGGATCGAATGAAATAGAGAAAAAAAAACAGCGTGTTCATTGTCGAATGTTTGTTGATCATCGTTTGGAATATGAGTGGCAATGTTATTCGAATTCGATTCGAGTTTGAATTGAAAACAATAAAAAACTTTTAATCAACAAACGAAAATCGTTATTCGAATCGATTTTGATTTTTTTTTCATTGCTTATCATCATTTTTAGAAATATTTCCATATTCATTGTCATCAATTCGTTATAAATTGTAAGTATGAAATTAGATTTTTTCTAGTCTATAAATTTCACTGGTAACTTGTATTCCTGTTGTTTGGTGTGTTATACATTCATAATGTTTGCATGATTCTATTTATTTATGGAATTTGTAGATTTTTCATGATCGAATTCTTTTCATCATTCTTCAGGCTTCGAACATTTAATCTATATATAAATGAAATTGATAATAAGACACAAGTACAACAAGCATAAATTTCGATTGAAATCATCGGCGTCGACGCAAACTGATATATCTGATCCCGGGAGTCATCATTATTTTTGTCGTTGCTTCCACTATGAACAACGTAACTAGTCAAAGTTTTTTTTTACCGTTATACCCGAAAATGTGTATATAATGATAATTGATATAAACAAAAAGGCAAACAAAACATCATTCACAACTATTAGGGCACACGAATCAAAACCAAAAAAAAATGAGAATTTTTTTTTGTTTTCGCTCATTTCGGTAGATGATTCTATCCTGTGTGTGTGTGTGTGTGTGTGTATGTTTGTGCTCTCTTTCTGGTATTTGTAATATTTTGTCTTGTGATTTTTTCATTCAATTCTGTTAGATGAACAAACGAACATAGAAATGAAAAAGAATTTCATTTAAATTTAAAGGACAAACAAAAGTTCAGAAGAAAAATTCCTATCAAATCGAAGAGCAGCAATTTGAAATGAAAGTGAATCATTCTACCAGAAATTATATCATCATTTCAAAAATAAAATAAAATGTTTGTTCATGTATAGCACTGCCACATTTCATACAATCTGTATCCTTTTGTTTTTTAATTTTGTTGGATTTTCCAATCATCTTTCCATATAGTTATTATTATCGATTTCACCATCATCATCAACAACAACAACAACAACAACAAGACAAAAAAACAATATATAATCAAGCTGCCATATTTGTGTGTCTATTCTATTTTATATATTAATCAATCAATCTCCTATACCTTTATAAGAGCTAATAATCGAACGAACCTTGATTTTACCATTTGTATGAATGATATGCACATGTCTGTTTTCAATAAATCGTATACATACATAAATAATTGTTAATTGATATTATTGGGATATATATACACGTACATTATCTGATATTATATGATTTGATAATCTTTTAAATGGTATAGAAAAGTGAGAAAAGGGAAAATAAAAATAAAAATTTCCGATTCCAACTATTCCACGCGTACTATGTACATCATCATTATTGGGTTATCATTTAAAAAAAACAACAAAAACAAAAAAACGATATCAATCATTTTTTATTTGTTGAATAAAATTTTCGTAGAATTTAATTCTTTGAATTAATTCACGTATTCAATTTGATTCAACAGGTTTCAGAAATTATTAACGCCAGAAATAAAAACAGACCATAATTTACTTATCTTTTTTTTGTCTTTTCTTTGATCTCATTATATCCTCTTTCTTTCTTTTTTTCCCCAATCTAGCATCTTGAGGATTTCCATTTCTCTCTCGCACATTCACTATCATTCGTTTGGCTCTATAATTGCTTATTTTTGTCCCTCATCTTATCATTATCATCGTCATCATCATTATCATAGACGACGACAATCATCAACCACCGGATTGCTGTATGTTTGTGTGTGTGTGTGTATTTACTGTGGCGTCGATGAATCAATCGATTTTTTCTGATCTGTTTCTTCTGTCTGTTTGTACCTGTGTCTGTTTATGTGTGTGTGTGTGTTGAATGAAATTGAATGTAAATCAATTATTGGAATGAATGATAAATAATTGTCGCATTCTTACATATTACAATTTGTTGTATGTGTAAACTATTTCTTTTTTTTATATTCAAGCCAATCGATAAGTGAATCAACACCATTCATTTCAAATTCCCATTGATCACGATCAATCAATCATCGTACATTATTGTTGGTTTTTTATGGTTTTTTTTCTATTACATCGAATGAAAAAAATATTGCCATCAACATCGTCATATTCTTTGTTCAAAAAATTTCATTTATCATATATATTGATTGATTCGAATTAATGGATAATAATAATTTACATCTGTATCAATATAATCTTTATATTCATCGACTATCACTACCACCACCACCATCATCATCATCATCATCATCTTTATTGTATCACAATCAACACTTAGTAGACTATTTTGACATTAAAAAAATCTTCAATTTGTTACATTTATTCAAAACATTCATACTCCAATAACAGATAGAGATACAATTTTTTTTCACAATTTATTTGCCATTTGTTTTTCGTTTGGTTGTTTTTTTTTTTGTTGTCATTTGGCTAATCAAGAAACACTAAATCATTGAAAACATTTGAAATCCTTCAATTCATCAGTCTTTCCAATTTAAAATCATTATATTACATCATTCATAAATCCGTTATTATACAGACCACAAACTTCAGATATACCTCATCATTATCATCATTTTTTTTTCATTATGATCTGAACTTGATAATACTGAACTGTGATGATTATTTGAACTCTACCAATCGCTTAAACGAGTTTAATTTTATTCAAACAAAATAGATTGTGATTTTCATTTTTTTTGAATTATTATTTCATCAAATTGGTCTATTTGAAAGCCTATCAGCATCATCATAATCATCGATCATTCATTCATCTTTATTTTTATTCAGGTAATTTTTATTAATATGAATCATAATGTTCACAATGTGTTGTTATATTCGTCAAATTTTAATTGTGATTGATTGATCTCTTCAATCACAATCAAAATCTTATCGAAATTGAGTTTGAGTTTGTATTGTTTTTTCTTTCAAAAATCCAAACGATAAAATCGATAGTCTCAACAACAGGTTCTAAGATCCTTTTCCTGATTTGTGTTTATAGATAAAATCATTTCTAAATTGAACAATTTTAGATGTAGGTGTAGATTAATTTTGTCAATGGGAGAGAGATTACACAAATAAAATTGTAGGGAAAAAACAATTTTTTTTTTACCTTGTCAGGTAAACGAAACAAAAACATAAAAATTGTTTTCAACAACAAGATATCGACAATCTAAATCGATCCATTTGAACAAACAAAAAAATCTATGCACTGTAGAAAACTTAAGGCTACTATTGATCTTTATTATTGGATGTTTTGTATATAATTTCTGTTTCATTATCATTTGATATCGATTATTATTTTGATTTCATTTTAATTCCATTTTCGTTCAATTAAACATCAAATAAACAAAATAGACTTGAAAAACGAATTGTATTGAACTCAAACTACAAAATTCATCATCATCATCATCATCATCATCATTATTCTCATGGTGTTGAAATATGAAAACATGAAATCTTGGAACTTGATTTTTTGAAAAAAAAACTCTTTTTTAATGACTTTTTATGAACTTGTTTTCGAATTTTTTCATGCTTGTAGTTTGTCGAGTTTTGTTGTTGTTGTTGTTGTTGTTGTTGTTGTCTTTTCATTATTTTGACCGTTGTCAGTTTTCAAATATAAATTTGAAAATGCTAAACAAGCAATGACAACAACAAAAATATATTCATTTCTTATTTGATGTTTTGTTTATGTGATGAACTATTTCTACTTAATTGATATTTGTTGTTAATTCTTTGAACACCATGTAGTCATCATCATCATCATCATTAAATATATTTTATTAAATGGTGATAATACTGCTGAATGTCTTATCTTTTTTTTGATTTATTCAAACATTCTAGGAAATTTTATGATGATAATCATGATGATATTATTTACCGGAAATATACATTTTCATTATAAGATCCTATCGTTTATGAACGGCCAATATTTATGTCCATCATTTATCATGATGATGATTTGATGATTGGATTTTTTTTCCTGATATAATTTGAATGGTAAATATATTATTTGTGCACACACACACACACATTGTCATGTATGCAGCGGATACAATATGATATTAAAGATTCTTTCTTTTACGCATGTGTATTTCAAAATCAATCTTTGGATTTTTTTTTAAACGTGTACCTTTATTTTTTATGTGTATTACGGTGCGCAGCAGCAAACCACATTTGCACAATATCATCGTTGGCTATTTGGTATTCAACATGGTTTTTTTTTTGTTGCATGTGTTGGAAGCTGAAGACTATAGCTGTCTGATTGAATTCGATTTTCTTGCCATGTATGCATACACGGCATTGTGAACAATATAGAGTGGAGAATGATTTTGGATGGGAAGAATGATGGTGGTGCGTGTGTTTGACGATGATGATGATATTATGGCAACGTGTTGGCCCTTGTGTATTTTTCTACAATTTTTTTCATTGGAATTCCAGGTTCGGATAATAAATTGTTTATGATTCGATTGGATCATTGTGTTTTTGAAAAAATTGTGATCCTAATTTGTTTTTGTGTGTATAAACAGTTGTGTGTTGTGGTTTTTTTAATTTCTAACAACCATCCTGGAATTTATTCAATCAAATGATCTCTCCATTATTACTTCTCAATTTCATTTGGTTAATTTTCATTTGGAATATTCCTAAAGGAAGTGAAAACAATTAAATTTCCGTAAGTTTAATCTCTATAGATTTTTATTTCATTTTGTATTTGTGTGTGATTTTGTTGGATTAAATTAAATCATCATGAAATTGATGCAACTTTTATTGATTTATTTTACACATGGCATTCAATATTTCTCTGGAGGATGAGGATTTCCGTTTTGTATTTTTTTTTTTGCTTTATAGTTTTGTTCATTTTCGATATTGGCAGAAAAAAAATTGAATTCTTTACGATTAGATTTGAAATTCATTTCTTTGGCACAGAATTGTAAGTAGAGGGTTCAAAGACATGTTGTTGTTGTATACGACTAGTTTTTTTTTGTTTTAAATAATTGATTGGCTTTAGGCTTTTATATATTATCATATAATAATAATCCTTTTCTTCGCCCCTGTCTATCGAGAGTGTGTGAATCAGGTTTTTCAAGAATATTATCTTGTTGCATAATAATAATAATAAAAAGAATTATTATGATCATTCAAAATATTATGACTAAAAGATTATTAATTGTGTTTCTTATTTTTCTGATTTTATTGTGCCAATAGGAAAAGAAAATGTTCATTAGATCAATTTGAAATTTTTTTTTATGTATGTTTATGTTCTCGATATATTTTTTATTAGATAACAACAAGAAGACCTGTTAGATATAAATCTAATATGACAGTTGTTGTATAATAAAACCACGCGGTTAGTTCAAAAAAAACATTTGGCATGCATGGTGTTTGTTTCCCGGATAAACGTTTTTATTTTCAAACAGCATGCTTGTATTTTTACCACGGGAAACTTGAATTCGAATAAATAATATATATATTGTGAAAAGGATATCTGGAACCAATGATGATTGAGCCTTTAATGATACTACTACCATCATTAAAGGTAGTATATATAATTGGTTGTTACAATAATTTGTTTGATACATTGAAATTTTTACTACTACTTCTTTTATGTTCTTTACAAAACATATTTTTATGCTATTCCTTCTCAAAAGGTAGTGGTATTTAATTTTATGAAAAAAAAAATAAAAAAACTATGAAAATGATGATGAAGAGCAAACACATGCACAAAAAACACACACATACACACACACACACACACACACACATACACACACACACACGTCGACAGCAGCAACAACAACAACAACAAAATTTCTAGTTATCATCATCATCATCATCATTGACATCGACAACGCGTTTTTTTTCCATGTCCAAATTATGTGTGTGTCTGTGTATCTTGATGATGGTTTGGTTTGTGTTCGATTCTAAAAACGCGTTTGTAAATTGAGTATGTAGACGACGATGATGATGATGAGTGCTAGATTTTTATTTTTCCTTTAATAATTTTTTTTTTTGGTTTTTTTTCTTATTGCTGTGTTGGCTTGTGTTGTGTGTTTTCTTAATCACACACTCAGTTCGATATTAAAATATACATCTTTTTCACATTTACGAAAATATTCTCCATCACCACTATCATCGCACACACACACACATACACAAATGTTGTTTCGGTTTTTTTTATCGTCATTTTTTTAATACTATCTGGTGGTGATCATTTGTTGGTGATGATGTTGTTGTGGTATAGTGGTGGTGGTGGTGGCAGATTGTCGTTTTGTCGGTGTCGGTGTTTTTTTTTTTTGTTTTTTTTCGATGTTTGTACATTTTGTGAACACGAATGAGATAGATATTTTTCCATAAAGGAAAGAAGCAAAAAAAAATTATTCATCCATTTCATTCGATTTTTATTTTTCTCTTAGTGTTGTTGGTGTCATTTTTTAAATTTATTTTTGAGAATCACAATATAATCAGCCAAAAATCAGATACAAACACACACGAATCATTTTTACGCCGATATTTCGGTAGTTTATCATCATAAAATCACCATATATATTCATCATTATCATCATCATTCATATATTTTCATTAAATTCATCTCTCATTCCTCTATATTTTTAGTTGAGACAAAGACAGCAATCAACAAGCCAGACAGACATTCGATGATTGTCCTTTTTATGTATGTGTCTATTATATATGTGTTGTGTGTGCGAAAGAATATTCACAAATCCGATTGAAATGGTGAAAATCTAATGTTATAAGGTAAATAGATAAAAATTCCAAAATATACTTATGAAATAGGAAATTGATTTCAATTGTTATATCGATTTTTCTATTGTTTTTTCCTCTTAATTTTTTTTTTTGATATCCCATCAATTTTTAAATTTAATTGAAAAACAATGAACATTAAATGATCCACTTGAGACAGTTAATGATGTGTATTTGAGAGTATGTGTGTGTGCGTGTATTGAGGACTTATTGAAATCCTAATTTTATTTTTTGTCTGATCTGCCAAATCATCGAATGTTTGATCATTTCCCTCAATCATTTTTGGCAAAATTATTAAATTCCATTCTCTTTTTTTCCAATAGGCACCATCATTTGAAAATTTGGACTATATCTCTGTTTATTTGTTTGTACAACAAAAAGATATCTACTGAATTCAAACCTGGAACCGATAAAGTACAATCGTAACGCATTTCGAGCTTGTTTATTCATCAATCTTTTGTAAATATATATGTTTGTTGTACATTAGCAAGAAAAAATTCATATTTTGCTGAAAATTGTGTGTGTGTGATTTGGCCCATTAGATTGGAAGTGTTTGTTTGTTGTGTGTGTGTGTTGATTGATTGGGAAAAGAATTTTGAATGGATATTATAATGAAGTTAACTGAAGACAACGATAACAAGATGCCAGCCCCGGTAACGACAACTACGAACAGCAACCATACGAATAACACCAGCAATTCAGTAACGAATCCTGTCACAACAATCAAAACCAATAAACAAGCAACAACAGCCATAGATTGTATGAAGATAAATCATGGCCATAATAATATCAATTTGGAAAATGGTGATTTGTCATCATCATCATCAATTAAATCCGCTGAATTATCATCCAATATTGAATCAACGTTGGATTATCCAAAGCTGACCAATGAAAAAACGACCACGACAACAACTGCCATCAACAATAGTAACAACATCACCGATAGCAACAAATTAGATAGCGATTGTATCGATAACAAACAAAGCTCAGAAATCATCAACACCGACCGGAGCAAATGATAATGTAATTATCCATAATGGTTATGGTACATCATCGTCATTAGAACATCATAACAATCATCTGATACAGTCACAATTGCAAACGACCACTGTCGTCCCAAATGCCTGGATCAGTTCACCTGGAAAACTTGTGGCTAAATCATATAATCAAACGGCCCCATCGCCATCTTTAATACCGCCATCACAACAACCATCATCGACAACATCAGCCAACAATTGCCAAACTACCAATACTAAAACTTTGTTGAATAATACGCATAACAACGGTATGTGTATAATGACCTGAAAGCATCATGACATTAAATTGACCCAAAAAAATAGGACAAAATGATGATTCTATGAACATTACGTGAGCTTAAGGAAAAAACCGCATGGTTACATGTTGTCCTGTGTCCTATCTTTTATGAACAGATCCATTTTTTCGTGTGTTTTTTCTTTGTGCAGAGGAAATGCTAATGAAAGTGTGTGTGTGTGGGTTTGTTTTTATGGTAGTGGTAGAATTGCACTGCAATGTAAATGTTGCTTGCATAAGCAATATAAAAAATTAAAATTTGTTGCAACATAAATAGCGTGATTCAATCTGTTGCACTTTTGAAATGAATTTATCATCATTCTAGAAAGGAAATTATTAAATTCAGAATTTTTTTTTTGAAAAGAATACGATATTGAAATTTATTTCCGATCAATAATTGATAAATAGATGAACAGACATTTAAACAAAAAACTATTCTCTAATGAAGATAGATCAACACGAAAATGTCCTGTATTATAACGAATGATGGAATGATGATGATTGTCTTTATTTGTGTGTTGTACAAATTACCAAGCAATCGGCAAAAATTTTATGCATATAAATATTATCATGATAATAATGTTTTGTTGAATGCTTGTGAATGAACGAAAAAATGTTTTAGCTATATAGAGATAAATATATATCAAAATCAGAAAAAAAAATTTAGAAAATTGAAAGTATATTATATGATGAGATGAGAAAATGTAGACAGACAAGAGCAACAATTTTGAAAAAAAATACATTAATACGACAAATAAATAGAAAACATCGAGCAATAAGTGTATAAAAATATATAATATAAAAAAGATAGCAAAGAAGAGAGAGAAATGAAACGATTTGGATATTTGTTTCCAAGTTTTCGTGCAATGTTTGTGTGTGTGTGTGTGTGTTTACGGGGAATGCTTTGCTGCTCTGTTTGTTAATGTGGTATTTGATTTGGGAGCCTTGATCATCGCAATCATCATCATCCATAAGTCGCTGTTGAGTCAATTTTTTTTTGAAATAAATGGATGATATATTGAAAAAAAATGAAGACGAAAAGAAAAATTAACCAACAAATCCAAGAAGAAGCAAAAGGCATTCACTAATGTCGGCTGTTTTTTTGTTTGTTCTTGGTTGATGATGGTTCCATTGATGATGTTTTGATTTCATCCATTTTTAATTGTTGATGATTTGGAGTTCCGTGTTTCAGGAAAATAGAATTTTCGACATTCTTACATTTGTATATATTTATATTGTATTTATTATTGATGATGATCATTTGATCTGGAATGGTATTTATTTCTTGTCTGCTTTTTTTGTTGCATATTTCATTCTGTGTATCAATTGAATGTGATTGTAAAAAAGTGCAATTTCTTTTTGTTGTTTTTGTGTAGTGTGTGTGTGTGTTGCTGTATTGAATTTTTTTTTTGTTTGGCCGACTTAATTCTATGATGAATATTTTGTTGGTGTTTAGTTTGTTGATGTTTTGTTCACATTTATTGTTGTTAATATATTGTCAGATGTGTTTTATATATTATAATAATAATAATAATTAAATGGAACAATTATCAAATTCAACTAGCGAATTAGATCTTTAAACCTTTGTGTGTGTGTGTGTGTGTGTGTGTATGATGTTTGTTGATCATCATCTTCAAACAAATTCTGTATTACCAAACATCTTTTACCATTATATCCATAATTGGCTTTTTTGTTTTCTTTTTGCTTCTACCACCCATTATCCATCTACTATTTGAGTTTTTGTCTTTAAATTTTATCATTTGTCTTTCTACTTTACGTTCCTATATGACGACTTTATCATCATCATTCTTAATTCGTCTTGTTATATATTTCTATGCAATTTATGTTTTTGAAAAGGATCTATTTTTGTGTTTGTATGTTCGGGTTTAGGTTTACATTGTTGTTGGATTGATGATGATAATGTTGATGTGATTCCCGAAAGTTTTTTTTTCTCATTCGACATTTATATAAAGATTCATCACAGCCATCGGGGAATGAATCTACTATGACTCCCAGAAAAAAAATGCAATGTGTTATATAATGTATTTATGTTTGTCTGTGTGTGACAATGAATGAAATGATATATTTATCACATTCTCATATCATCATCAGAATTCATCATTAAATTTATTTAACCATTTTTTTTATGGTTATATTTCCACCGACAAGCTAATATATTTTGTTCGAGTTAGGCCTTGTTAACTTCAGTTGTTGTTTGACTATGATTGGAAAAAAGATTTTTTTCCATCATCATTACAAACAATTTAGGATTTCTTTAATTTTTTTTTCACTTTAAACTATTAGCTTGATATGTTTGATGATGATGATGATGAAAACGAAACAAAAATTCTGCCACGACATTTTAATGCTCAAAAGGCTAATGTTTCAAATGGAATTTTTTTTTTTTTTTTTTTTTGATGAAGTCAATTGAATTTCATGGATTTATTTTAGACTGTTGAAAACATATATATTCAGAAATATATAGTTGTTTTATTTTTTTTTCTTGCTTGATTCGATTTCTGGTATATGTTTGTTCATGTTCATGTGAGTTTATTTTTTCTTTTTGTTTGGAAATGAATAGGTCTTTTTTTTCACAAAGTTTCTAACCTTAATGTCAACCAACAATCAATGTTTCATTTTTTTTTTGCCTTTAAATATTCGCATATTGACTATGAATTGAGTCAAATGTTGTTGTTTTGTTTTTTTTTTTTTTCGTTGACTTTGTCATGATCAAATACATGAAAAAAAGGAATGGATGTTGTGAAAAGAGCTTTTCTCTCGTGTTCGAGAACATGAAGAAAAAAAATTAAATGAATCAATTATGAGGAAAAAGAGAAATTCGAGCAAAATAAACAAATGTTGAAAAATATTGAGAGACTAAATGCTCTCACTTGAACACACAAACATTGCACACACACACACGTTCATTCATATAGAAAAATACATAATTTTAAATGAGTATTGTTTATAATAATGATTTTTGTTTTGTTTTGATACGTGTGTTCTGAAACGAAAAAATAGGTAACAATAAAAACGTTATTCCATTATCAACAACAACTACAATATCATCATCATCATCATCAGTGATGCCTATTTCTTCCACAAGTACCAACACAACTGTCTGTACAACCACAACAGTGACAACAACATCAACATCAGGGGTAAATAATAATAAATGGTCAATTAAAAATGGATCGAATTCTGCATCAAATTCTATTGTCAATAACAATAGTAGCTGTACGAATAATGCCTCAAATAATCAAAAAGTATGTTAATCTATTTTATTGATATATCCTTAATAATTGAATAAATTTTTTGTATTTTTTTCAATTTAGGATGAGTACAATTTAAATTATAGTGAGGATTGGCCTTCATTAAACGAAGTGAACGAGGTATTATTGCATCTTAATTTAATTCATCATATAATTATAATGTTTGTTTTTGTTAATTTTAAGCTTTCATTGAATTCTAAACGTAACTCTGCCGGTGAAACGATGGTCATTAATAGTACCAATCAGAATAACAACAATGAAGTTGTTTCATCATCGTCACCATTGTCAACACCATCATCGCCTAATATAATTGCTCAAAATTTTGAATCCAAAACATTGGCTAAAACTTTATCGTCTTCGTCATCGCAACCAGCAAACACACAAAATAGCAACGATAATCGAAAATTGAGCAATAATTCGTCGTTACCAAATGGTATTAGCGTTGTACAATCGTCACCGATTCAAGATGAATGTTTAGACGATGGTTCAACTACATCATCGAAAGATGCCAATTTAATTTCATCTGGTCAAGGTTTAGACAGTAGTACATTGACTTCCGATAAAAATAAACACAAAAAGAAAGGTGAGTTTTTTCTATTGCATCGCATTCACATTTATAGAAATGAAATCCTTATGATGAAAACACGGAATTACCGTCTTAGTTTCAAACCATGCCGAAAATTTTTTATGGCTGCTTTTAATCTGATTTATTTATTTGTAGAAAAACAACAAAAAGTTGATGAGCAATCAATTGATTTTTAATTAAATTTTTTTTTTATTTTGTAAACAGGACAAAAGAAATGGGTACCATTGGATGGTATTATTGGCGCACCACCAGCCAAATTACGTGGAAAAATTGTCAATAAAACCAATGATTATTATTCTGTTGGTGAATATAACGGAATAAATGGATATACTGATCATGAATATAAATCCGGTGCTGCTGGAGGTGGTGGCCGTTATAATAGTGGCAATGGTGGCGGAAACGGGAATTTTTCTCGCAATCGATCTCAAAGACGAGGTGAACGTGGAACTGGTAATGGTGGTAATGCTGGTAGTCGTGGTCCTGGAAATGCAACTGGTACGAATACTGTTGCTGTTTCAAATGTAAACAATAGCAATAACAATGAAGATAATCATCGTTATGGTATTGGAAATGCTAATGGTAGTAAAGTTGGTCCCTCCAATACATCTAGTTCAATTAGCAACAGTAATAACATGAATAAATCTAATGCTCAATCTGAAATAATTGATTCATCATCAACATCATCTTCGAATCCGAATGCAAACTCCAATCATAATAATAATACCAACAATCATAACAATAAAAAAAAGAATATAATATCTGGTAGTGGTAATGCTGTTAGCGGTAATAATCCTAACGATTCACACCATCAATATTCTCATCATTCGCATCCGCCTCATCAACATTCGCATCAACAACAACAACAACACCAACAACATCATCATCACCCATTGAATGTTCAACAACAGCCTCCATTATCGGTACCATTATATACAAGACGTAATCCTAATGGTGGAATGCGTGGAAGATCACGTGGTGGTGGATTAATGGGTGCTGGCCGTATTCTTAATCGAAGTCGTTCACAAATGTCTAATGAATCTACCGGTCCAGTTGTGAATCCGACTGCAGCTATTGTTCATCAACAAACCAATGGTAATGTTGGTGTACTTCCTGGAACTACTGTCACGGCAACGATGCCGCCACCGCAGCCATCTGTAGTCACTAATACTGTTGCTGCTGTTGGTAATGGTGTTACAGCCCCTAACATTCATCCGGAAGAATATGCTGCTGCTTATCCTCAATATACTGCTTATGATTTTCCTGCACAAAATATACGGCCGGATATGAATTCACCACTTTCAGCCGGATTATCAACAGCACCTGCACCTACAGCGGCATTTTTACCACCATCATATTATTACAATACTCCTTTTGTTTATGGCCCGGATGGTATTAAGGAAATGTTACGTTCACAAATTGAATATTATTTTTCCGAGGAAAATCTTCAAAGAGATTTTTTTCTTCGACGTAAAATGGATGAACAGGGATTTTTGCCCATTTCTTTGATTGCTTCATTCCATCGTGTTCAAGCATTGACACAGGATGTTACTTTGGTCGTTGAAGCATTAGCTAATTCAACAACTATCGAAGTTGCTGATGGGATCAAAGTGAGAACACGCAATGATCCACAGAAATGGCCAATTGTAAGATGAATGCCAAACAAGATGATTCTAGCTAATAATCATTCATTTTTTTCTGTCAATAATTTGATTTCAATATAGTTGGATAATCTTAGTGCTGCGGCTACTACTGCAATTCATCCAGCAATGGTCATGGCAGCGGCAAACTTGAAATCACATCAACAAAGTCCAGAAAATATTGCTAATCATCAGGATGTCGAGATCAAAAGTGGCAATAATGATTTTGATATTGTAAATAATAACAGTAGTTGTCCATCGCATGTAAAAAATAGCAGTGATGGTGATCCACCAAAACACCAAGTTGCTGTAGCCAATGATGATCAATCAACTAGTGATGTCAATTCTATTCATGTAACCAATATTGCTCAATCACAACAGACAACAAACTCTCCTTCCACAACCGCCGATACACAATCGAATGAGGATGAAATACAACAGCAAAAACAAGTGATCAGGAATCAATCTCAGATACATTTGGCCTCGGTCATCAGCTCTTCAGCTACTATGGATGGTTCTGCTGTCCCAACAACAACACCAGTCTCTGGCAATAATACCGATTCTCAATCTTTGTCTTCTAATGCAGAACCATCCGTTGTTGAAATAGCTAATTGTGATAAATCTAAACAAGGTTCGTATTGTCATATGATTTCATTCTTTTAATTATGAATGTTTTATCTGGATCATTCAATTTTTAGTGAATAGCCCTGATGGTGATGCCAAATGCAGTTCAATAGATTCACAAAATCGTGAAACAGCTTATGTGAATGCAAACAGCAATAGTGATAATGTTAATGTGACTGCATCAAACACTGTGTCGGTGGCAAATGAAATTGAAGATTGGAAACCAGTACGTTCGAAAAAGAACAAATCTCGTGCCAATAAATCAAATGAACATTCATCTCATCAATCATCTTCAAATTGTAAAACAATAAATCGATTAACAACCAAAGAAGATTTACCTTTTTTATTGGACGAAGATGTTCATGATGGTGAGGAATTTCAACTAACTGGTCGTCGAAAAACATACATTGATTACTCTGATTATGATGATTATGATGAAATTAGTGATCAAGATTTGAAAAAAATCATATTGGTTACACAAAGCCGCAAAGGTAACCAATTGAATGATAGAACTGGTGATTGGACCACTCGAGTCAAGATGACCCAAGAGATGGCAAAGATAATCGATGATGGTTTATTCCATTATGAACAAAATCTATTACTAAACCATCAAGGATCTAATACTAAGCAGCATAAAACGTTGGGGTACATTTCTCGTGAAGATTTTGAACTTTATTCCGGATCTCCTAAAGATAAAAAGGAAAATGCTTATTCGACACCACCGCCACCACCTCCCACATTGAATGATGATATCAAATTGGATGAAGTATATACCACCACTGGAGATCATACATTATCGGCAGAAGAGCTTCAACAATCAGCCAAATCATTGCAACGGAAATCTCCAAATCCTCGTTTCTATCTAGCCCCAGAGCCTCATGAACTTCTTCCAGCCGGTACGCCACGTAAACAAAAAACAAGACATTCAAGCAATCCACCGATAGAACCTCATGTTGGTTGGTTATTAGATGTTCGTGATCATGAAACTGCTTCGATGAATGCTGATGCCACATTGGGCATGAATTCTGATGGTAATAAAGATGATAAAAATGTTATCATTTCAAATACAACCAACATGCAATCCCATCAGACAAACACTGGTTCAGTGTCCATATTGTCAACTAGTCTTGGTTCTACTACTCAATCACTGCCAAAGTTTGAACATCCATCTCATGCCTTACTGAAAGAGAATGGATTCACTCAATTTGTCTACCATAAATATCGTTTAAGGTGTATCAAAGAACGAAAACAACTTGGTAAGTATCCTTCTCAAATAAAACAATTATTCATAATTTTTTTAATTATTAGGTATTGGTCAGAGCCAAGAAATGTTTACCTTATATCGATTTTGGTCATTCTTTTTGCGCGAATTTTTTAATCGCAATATGTATGAAGAATTTCGGCGATTAGCAAATGAAGATGCACAAGTAGGCTTTCGATATGGTCTGGAATGTTTATTCAGATTCTATTCGTATGGATTGGAAAAACATTTCCGATCTGATTTGTTTAATGATTTCCAAAAGGAAACAATTAAAGATGTCGATGCAGGTTAGTAGGAATAATGATATCTAATTAGTTCATCTATCATTTTACTACTCGAAACACATTTAATTGATGATTTCAAATTGATGTGTTTTGTAATGAATGGATGAGAAAGAAGTTTCCAGAGCTTTTTTAAATTCAATCTATGACTATATTTGATGTCACTGGCTGGCCGCAATTTGCTCACATTTAATTTCGTTGACATTTAGGTGAATTATACGGGTTGGAAAAATTCTGGGCATTCCGTAAATATTATAAAAATTGGTGTTCAATCGAATCTTTAGTGGATCCATTCCTGCTTCAAAAACTCGACAATTATAAGAGTGTTGACGATTTTAGATTAGACGTATGTTGTGTGTTTTGAATTGTTTTTTGTTTAATTTATTGATTTCAACATTTAGGCAGAAACAATAGCTCAACGTGAAACTCAAAATAGGACTAAACGTGAAGAATATGTGCGAAATTTTCAGCAAGAACAACAACAAAATTCTTCGTCCAACAAGAAAAAAGGTGATGGCAATGGAAATGTTTTTGTGGGTAAAAATTTGAATAGGAGGCATCAGAATACGATGATTGGTGATGAAAATAAGCATCAGTTCTCAAAACAAGATAATAGGTAAAATTTTCAACTTTTTAAAATTCACCACTAATCAAATCTATTACGCTTATTTATAGAACACAGTCATCTAAAAGTAACATTGGATCAAACAAACCAGTCAAAGATGCTATTGTTGGTAAGAATGGTGATCAATCAAGAACATCAAGCAATATAAATGCCAAACAGCCAATGCGGCAATCCAATAATTTACAGACGAATAATATTAAATCAGTGCCAATGACACCACAAGCAGCACCCGTCAATTCACCAACATCATTCGCTGCTATCGTTGCTTCAAAGCCAAAAAAATTAGCAGAAACACAAAGTGCAACTGGAACGACCGCTGCAACTTCAAACACTGAAAATTCTTCCACAAAATAAACATCAATAGAAGAACGTTTTTTCTGACAATCATTATTGTAAATCTTTTTGGTGAGAAAATCATCTCATCTTATGCAACATCGGCTTTTATCATTGAATAAGAATCGGTTACTATCAAAAGTTATCGCGAAAAATGATTCGGTTCATAAAAAAAAGAAAATACGATCACTATTGTCATCATCATCATTATTTTACCGTTATACAATTAATTATCATTATTATTTTTTTGTGTTGGAACTAAAACGCTTGCTTGCTTGATCCATTTGGTTCATAATATTCTTTCATCATTCGAAGTTCTCCCACGATTTTTCTCATTTTTTTTTACTATTTGCAACTTTTTCTTTTTGGCCCAATATTTTTATCCATCCATCATCTCTCTTTCTGTTTCTTTCTAACCCAAATGAAGATACTGAATTATTTTTGTGTAAGATTAGAATTCTTCGTTTTGGTCGTCTTCCAAGAGCAAGAAAAAATGAATAAATCTTTTGCGAAAAAAGTTTTTTTTTTATTAAACACTGTCATACATAGAAGCGTAGAATAAAAGTTTTCATCGATGATGATGATGATGATGACGGTGACGACATAAACGTTCATCGGAACTCGAATTTTATACATAACCATGACAAGATTCTTCAAGAATTTTTTTATGGGCGGCCTTTTAAACTACTCACGCCAATTTTCTAAGCAAAATCAATCAATCCATTTTTTGCCTCGAATCTTCCCTATCTTTATCTCTTACTCGTCTTCATTTTCATCATCATCTTGCTGTCTTAATTTCGGCGGAAGAATATGATCATCATCATCATGGAAATTGAATACTATCATTCAAGATTGATATTCGAATATGTGCCTTTCCTGATGCCCATTTTTTTTCTCAAAATGTCGCTAAATTTACATGAAGAGTTTCAACAACAACAACAAAACAGCAAAAGAAATTACAACCATAGCAACAACTCAATTGCCTATACAGTGTTTTTTACATCAAAGAATTTTGATGTGTTCAAATTAATACGCATTCTTCATATATTTCCATATAATTCACCCCTCACAAAAAAGATTTTGCATATTCCTTTCTCACTGTTTTTCTCGGTTTTTCCATAATCTACTACCCTACTAAAAGTATAGGGCCCTAAACTAGTCCAAATATATATTTTTTGTTTCAAAATAATTATAATCAATACACTAACATGATGATTCAGACACAAACACACATTAGAAAATTGAACCAATTGTTGTTCAATAACCTGAATCTTTTTCTTCAAAAAATCATATAAAAAACAACAAAAAAAAAAATTTAAGTGGCCAATCTTATTATTAGAAAAATCGTATCGTTATTTGTTTTTTCTCTTTTTCGCTTTTCTGCATCTCATATCTCGACATCAATAATCGAATGATAATCTAATGATGTGATTCAATAAACACACACACACACACAATTTATATATTCTCAGAATATGAACAAAAAAAACCATATATTTCTTACACTTTTCATTGGCCAATGTTTTTCTTTGACCGATTTATTTTTTTTTTTCTATTTTGCATCGCTCTACCTTTGTACATTTTTTTTGTATCTCTCCATTCATTTTGGTCATTGTTTTATTGTGTTGCCAACAAATTTTGTTTCTACCTTCACATTTAAGAGATTGAAATCGAATATATGGTACTGCATCTGTTTTTGGGCTATTTGCTTCCATGGAAAACTGATCAATATAAATTTTTGATCCCGGGATCCGTTCGTTATCCACATCACAGATGTATCATTTATATTCTTGGTTGAATGAATGGATTATATATGTGATGAATACAATCATCGCCATCATCATCATCATCATCATCACCAGCACTTAAGAATCATCATCATTTTTTTTAAATTTTTATTCTTTCATTAGTTCATTACACACAAACATTAATTATGATTCGGGAATCTGGGATGTGTGGTACACAGATACAAACACCCACAAATATTATGGATGCACCTACGTTGAATGCAGTCACTTAATAATAAACATGCATATGCTTACACACATACATACACACACACACACACAAAAAAAAATTGTATTAAATCTTCTTATCACTTTTAAGAAAAAAAAAATTTTTTTTTTTGTTTGTTGAATTTGAAACAAGTTATATTCTTATTCTATTCTATTAATAATTTTAAAAAAAACAAAAAAATATATCTTGCCTCCCACCTTATTTGAGCTCATCATCATCATCATCATCATCAAAGACAAAAAAAAACATGATAAAAAACAAATGAAAAAAAAATTATTATACTCATCATGTAAACACTTACAATGGACACACACACACACACACCTACAAATTGTGATGTTTTTCTCTTTTATTATTTTTTTTTTTTTTAATATATAAAACAAACAAACAAAAAAAAAATTCATCGATATCATTATTATTTGTTTCAGTGCAGTAGTTTATTTCTCATACTCTTATATGTTTTTTTTTCTTTCTCTCTCTTTTCTTTAATTTCAAATTTTGAAAATACAAAATAGTTATATTTATCAAATCAATTTACTTTCTATACACATTTTTTTTTGTTTGGCCCAAAATATACACTCACATTATTTTCATTTTAAAAACACCACACATCAACAACAATAGTCAAGCAAACACACACACACACACACATCATCATCATCATCATCATCAAATTTTAAATCATAGAGACCAATTAAAATTTTTTTTTTCCATTTTAAAGTGCAAACGGAACAATAATAACAACCAAAACACATCCATAAACAAACAAACAAACACACAGAATAAAATCAAAATGATAAACACATGTCTAGCCTCTTTTTTTTCTTGAAATTGAATTACTACATTTTTTTTCTCTCTGATCAACAAAATTTGTTATCATATATATATTTATTATTATTATTATGGTGAATTATAATATATATTCGATTATTTTCCATATACATTTACAAAAAAAAATTCAAAACTAAAAAAAAGAAACGTCAAAATTATTTTATTTATTTTCATGAGAAATTCTTTATTTTCATCAAAAAAAAAATTCAAACAGAATTTTTTTTGTTTCATCTATTTTTCTAGTTTTGAAAGATGATGATGATGATGATGAAATATCAAAAATCCATTTGCTAGGTCCAAATTGTTTTATTTAATTTTATATTTAAATTTTTTTTTTATGAAGAAAAGAAATTGTAAAATCCAAATGCCTTGAACACTTCATTCTATCACACAAATGACACACACATAAACCTTACAACATGAATCGATTCACGAAAACAAACAAAAAAAAAAAATTTTTGATTATCGTTAAACTGAAAAAAAAAATTTCAAATAAAAGAATTTTCTTTAATTAAAATGATGATATGGTAAATTTTTTTTTCTCGCTATAATACGAGAGAATAAAAATTAGTTCAAATATTAAAATACTTGGATTTCATGCCAAATTCTGTTGTCAATTTTGGTTTTTTTTTTGCGTTCATCAACAGCTACAGTGAGTCTTCAGTTTCGACGTAATTTCTTTACATTCATTAAATTTTCAAATGATGAATGTAGAATACACCACCACTACTACTGGTTCTTACTGATAATGTTGAATTCTTTTTTTCATTGTTTTCTTCTCATTGTCATGTGATGATGTTTCAGCTCAAACATTTCACAATACACAGTCTATTTTGATTGTAGGAAAAAATTTTGCAACAAAAAAAAAAACAAAACAAAACAAAAATTTTGTCAAACATAAAATTCATCATCATTTTTTGTTGTTGTTGTTGTTGTTTTTGTTGATGAAAAAAAAACCAATCAAAAGATGCTTGAAAATAAAAGTTAAAGTAAAAGATTTTTTATTTTTTTGAAAAGCCAAGTTCAATCTCATTATTTTCTTTTATTTTTTTTACAGCAAAAAGAAACAACAAAAAAAATTGAAATGAAAAAAGTTTCCCAAGAATTGTCAAACGAATATACAAAACTAAATGCTAACCAAGTAACCGCCACATTTGCAGAAGCAAACACACAGTGTACAGAAACAGGACTGCATTCACAAACCAGATCCCGACCAAAATCTAGACCAATTTTTATTTTCATCAATTTCGACACGCACACACACACAAATACGCCCCCAATAATAAAAAGAAAAATATTATATTTCTCTTGAAAAAAATGAATATGAAATTTTTTTTCAGTGTTCCGTTTGTCATGTGAATGCAAAAAAAATAGCAACAAAACTGATCAAAATTGATGGAATGAAGAGAATGTTTTGTTTGCAAAAGGAAATCGATTCAATGGAAGGAAAACCATTTTATTCTACTATATCACTCTGGTGTTTGTAATTTTAGATTTGAATACGCGTACCTGGGCTTGAGCAATTATTATTTCATATAATCAAATTGAATTAGATTTTGATGAATGAATGAATGAATGATTCTTCGCTTGAACGGAATTTTACAGCAGCAGCAGCAGCTAAAAAACAACAATGACAATTGCCAAAATAATAAAATGCAATTTAAATAAAATGAAATGAATGACAGAAGTCAATATAAATGATGATTATTTTTTTTTTTTGCTTTTGTATTAGAAACTTAATAGTGTAAACGTAATAATAGCTCTATAATGATAATACCATTATCGAAGAAGTTTTATCCTATGCTGTTTTTTTTTTTTTTTTTGATTCTTATCCAATCTTGCTTTCATTCCAGAATAACATAATAATGAGCCAAATAAAAAAAAAGTCAAATAGAGATCATAAGAAATTTGGACCATACAATTTTGTACTAAATAATGAAAAAGAATGTAGAAATCATTTTTCTGTTCAAATATCAAATTTCATCTTACTATAAGGATATGGATTGATTGGAAATTATCCACATGGTCCGGTGACATACACACACACACATAAAACAAAATGAGACATGAAACATTGTTGCGAAAAAATGGAAAAAAAACGAAGAACAACAATAATAATAATATCGAATGGACAGAAATTATTTCTGTGATCGAAAAAAGCCTTGTGTTTTCAAAAGACAAAATAGAAATGTAAGACAATATAGAATCGAGAAATAAAGAGAGAGAGAGAGAAAATGAAGACGTGAGAATCAAGAAAAGACCGATCTATTTTATATTCTTTATTTCTGTTGTCTAAATTCTTCATTCAATCTTCATTCTTTGGCCATTTTTATTCATTCATCCATCTATTTGGTCCATCCATCCATCCATGATTCTTCTTGTTGTTTATCCACACACACACACACACACACACACACAAGAAAAAAAGAATCCAATTCATGTCATTGTAGAAACTACTACTGGAATAGATTCAGGTTCAAAATAGAACGTGTCTTCAATTTTAATACCTTCTTCCAGTATTAATATAAATTTTTTTTTCTGGTTCATTCTGGTTGATGTCGTCGTTTCGTATTTTGTTTTTTTTCTTCTTTCTTTTTTTCCATCCAGTGGATGATTGCTTTCAGAATGGACGAATCAATTGAATGGATGATGATTTTGATGTTATTGTTTATATCCATATTATCCATTTTTTTTCGTTTGTTTGTTTGTTTTAGCCGTGTTCAAGAATGGATGTATATTTTTTTTCGTTTTTTAATTACAATGAACAACATTGCCTCGCCAAATAACTTGAATGGATGTTGATGTTATTTATTTTTTCTATTCGTTTTTATTTGTTATTAGTAATTTTGTTTTGAATGATGACGAAAATTGTGAAGTGTTGAATAATCGAGAAAAATTGGCACGATTAAGAATGATTACATTGTCATTTATATAATATACACAGATAGAATCATGTTCCTGGAATTCTGTTTTTGTTTGTTGGATTCAACATTACATAGATATGTATATGAAGAAGAATAAAAAAAAAGAATGACACATAAGCACGAGTGAATATTGATGTTAACATGTTCATAGTCGTCGTCATTGTCGTTGTCGTTGCCGTTGTCTTTGTCTTTGTTCTTGTCAGTTGTATTTTGTTTGTATAAGTATTAGTAATACTGAAGCAATGTATATGTTGGTGTGCATTATCTAAACTTGTCTCTAATCATTTCAATTTCGATCAATCTTCTGGTTGACTTGTGATCATGATCATTAACAGCGACACAGCTAATGTGAGATGAGAGATACGAACAACAACAACAACAAAAACATCAACATTTATTGGCCATTGGTTGAACT